CCCAAAAAAAAAAACAAACCAAATCTTACTAATTTGCATTTGCATTGTATCTAACTTGTACAGAGTGTCTGTATATACCTAAAACGAATGTTAAATATAAAACCGGAATGTTTTCTGTTATTTTAAATAAAACCACGAAAATGTAGTTTTTATTGCACAATATTGGAAGTAGGATAAAATTAATAGTTAAAAAGTGAAAACCCAATTCTCTGTAAATAAATTGCAAACTTTTTAAGTTTAGCAAAATGATCCAGCTTCTTTCACTTGAAACGGATATAAAAGTTAATATTCCAAAATAAGCCTGAAAACTAACAGGAAATTCTAATAAAAAAATTAAGCCTCTTACTATTAAAACTTTGTTCGAAAATTACGCAACATAATAAGTCGAACGTTTTTCACTTATAATTTGCAAGTTTTCGATTAATAACTCGTGAGCTTCTGATCTATAGCTCGCGAGTTTTATTTTTCTAATCTCGAACGGCAAAGCGGGGCTTTTCAATGTGCTTATGATATACTTGTCATATAGCTTTCAACGCGATTTCCCTGTGGTGAACATGAGGTAAAAATTTTGTAATTGTAAATCTGAAATAGAACAAAAAAATTCAAATTGAAAACCTCAGGCTTGCTTCACGGCACTCTCAAGGAAGAAAAACTCGAACTATTTAAGTTCCGACTGCGAACGTAGAAAAATAATCAATCAGTTTTGTTTTTTGAATCGCGGAATATTTTTTTTTTAGTTCCACTGTTAAAAATTTTTCTTAAATATTAATTTTATTTTGAAAGTTTTAGTCGATAACTCGATATTCCGAACTTATGATTGCAGAGCGAATCGAATTATCGAAACATTCGGAGGTGCCACCTTTCCGATAAAAAAAAAAGAATTATCGAAACTGGGGCCAAAGGTATTCGCTAAAATACATGAGAAAAATATTCCGACGAACTGATAACCTCCTTCTTTTTCAAAGTGGGTTAAAAGAGCTTTGTTTTGAGCCCCACAACGTTTATAAAAAATTTTCGCTGCTTTAACACTAGTACAAATGTTACGAATGTTATATATTTTTACATTCGCGAATACGAATGCAAATGTTTAGGAAGTATATTCAACCACATAGCGTGAGTCGTAAATTAGAGTAAATCGTGCGACTCGACAACATTGGCATTGTCTACTGTCGTTCAGAAAACAGTAATCGAAGAAAATCGTCGAAAACTATCCAGTGCTGTCAATTTTTTCCGTCGAGTCGAAATTTTAGCCAATGCCATCCGATTTTTGATACCACTCAACTTGCACTCGATACGATACACCAAATGAGGCTGATTAAAAACTCAATAGGAATTTAAAAAATTATTTATAAGAACGTTGAACCAGTGTTATACCTATAAGGTGGGGGGTCTTCACATCCACTGGTGAAATGCTAGTTAGTACTCGGTAATTTTATCAACTGTGATAAACTGTGTCCTTTTCAGCTTAGTTTTGTAAGTCTGTCAACATGTTTTTTAACATAAAAATAATTTGTAACAGAAAATTTATTTAATTTTACTTACTTATATGTGTTATGCAACAGCTGATTGCAGTGGTTAGGCTGACTTAGAGCCAATTCAAAAATATTATTAAATGATGCGAATGCAATTGTTCGTAACGTCCCTAATACATACGTTGTCTGTCTGCAAAAAACGTCATTTACCCCCAAAAATCGCCATTTAGCTAACTAAATCACTCTGTCAAAAAAGGTAACTTTTCATTAAAAAGTTTAAATTTATTTTGATTGCTTACGAGGTTGCACCCAGTATAGCATAGCCCTTATGAGTCTTTTTCTGTATAAGTCCTGTCTATTTGGTTATAACACCTAATGAAAAAAGACCGTGAGTATCGAAAAAATCAGCAATCAGCATAGCATTCAGCTTATCTGTTGTTCTACACTCCGATTTTTGCTGGCTTGTTCGCCTTTAAATCTTGTACGCACACGTCTCTTCATCAGTTTTAAAAATATTTTCTTAAACCAAAAAGCATGAGGTCTGGCTTAGGCTACGTTTACTATTCATGCGTATTCTGGCGAACTTTTGTTCTGATGATTTCGTCTCAACGAAAAACACGTATTTGTTTGTTTCGTATTTTTTTTTTTCGTTCCGAAGAAATCGTCAGAAAAAAAGTTCGTCAGAATACGCATGCATAGCCTTAATCAGCTGCTCTAAACTGTCACAGAAAAGCGGAAATTTTGAATAATTAACAAAAAAAAAATATTGGTAATACGATTAAAATAAGAGTACTTGTCAGTAATTTTTGCAATATTATAAAAGTAGCAAACATTTTTTTGATAAATAACATTAAAAAAAAAAATCCAAATAACGTTAAAAAGGTCAACCTGGCAACACTTCTTGTTGTGTATGGACACTTATGCTCTAGGCGAATTTATATAAGGCGGTGTTGCTGGATCATCTGATTTTGTACACCTGTGTCAAGATTTCTTATGAGAGGGCAAGTGAGAGCGTTAAAATTTTCTTTCCGGCTTCTTCCTTGAGCGAAGAATAGCTGAATTTTGACATTTGTGTACCGAAAGCAAAATACATTTAATTTTTTGTTTTTGTTTTGTACTACCTCTACCACCTTATATGGATTCGCCTTGCTAATGCCGTATTTCCACTTTTCACTAGGCATTGAAATGACAACAAAATTTTACTATTTCCGAATGAAAAAATTTCGGGCGGATTTGTTTTCGGACGAAACCCACCTATAGTTTATTGAAGGATACACCTGCTTCCAAATATAAATAATTCTATTGGCTACTTCTTTTCTATTCAAAAATTCTACCTCTTTTATTGTCTGCTTTGAACAAACAATAAGAAGCGGGCAATGTGAAATCTTATATGGCCTTATTCATAAAAAAAAATAAAATAGATTTAAAGAGCTCTATACAGTGAAATTTTCATACAAATTCTCGATTTATAAAGCAGTTAAAGCCTTCTTTATTTTTTATGAATTTGGGTGTTGATGTTTTTTAGAAAATATACTAATAGCCATTTCCACCAAGAGCTTAACTGCAGTTAAGAGTTCAGGTAAATTCAAATGCGTTAATATGGGGTGAACGGCAAAGTTTACTTCTTACATTTGCTTTCTTGATTTCGATTGCTTGTACTTAATATGAGCTATTACCGCCTTCGATTTGTAATCTCCCTTTTCCAATAGGCATTAACTGCAGTTAAGTCTTAGTGGAAATGAACTATTAAATTAGAAATAAATAAAAAAAATTACCCAAGTTAGCTGGAATCATTTTCCAAAAAGAAGCCACAATATTTCAAAAACATTGAAATCCCTCCAAGCACTATAAATGAAATATGGAAATGTTAAAGAACTTCTTCCCCTACTCAGGGTATTCCAGTGTGCGTGTTTTGTTTTACCCGCAGTTAAATAATTCCTAAATAAATTTTTTTTTGTAGAAATGTTAATGTTTTTAAATTCATGATGCGAGCTTAAATAATATTAAATACATATTTATTTAGACTTTATTAAAACTGATTTTTGGTACAATTGCAACTTACGAGTATGTGAATATACGTAAGAGTAAGTAAATCTGTGCGTACAGTGTACATTTATTTATTTATTTATTTATTTAAATAACTTAACTACAGTAGCATCGAATTTATATATTTTATATGTATGTATATATATTTTAGGAGAAAAGGAAAGAGAAGCGAGTGCGATAACAAAATTCGAGTGGATAAGGTAGATAAAGTGTTGGTCGAAACGTAAATCCGACGCAAGGAAATTCTTGATAGGCGCTCTTACACAATGCTGTATTATTTGACCAGTATTAAATACCGTTACATTTACTACTACATACATTAAGTGTATAGCTTTTGCAAAGAATTTGAACAAAGTGGCATGTTTACATTTCCATCAGCGGGTAAGTATTTAAATGAAATGCAAAAGTAAATTCATATACAAGAGAGCAGTTGAAATTTAAAATTAATAAATTCTTAAAATAAAATAATAAATAGCTCTTAAGAAAATAAAAGCAATCAAAACAAATTCGAGTTTGGCAACAAGAATTTCTTCTAGTAACTGTTAAGATTGCAAAGCAAGGATGTTATAAGAAGGAAAGCGAAATTGAAAACTGTGTGTGGATTGGCGCCAGAAATTCTTGCGTTTTCAAAATGGCATTACATTGTATTTGTCAGATTTGATCGGCAAATAAAATTATTTTTTAGTAGCTACTAATACATACATATGACTGGGCATTTTTGTGATGTTGCGTTGTTTTCTTACTTTTTAAATAAAACAGGAAAAAAAGAATGTAAATGTCGTCGCGAAAATGCAAGTTTAATTCTAAAATAAAAATAATATTTAATAATTTCTGTTTCTTTTCGCTAAAGACAAAGTAAAATCAAATAAATTCAATTATTTGGAGCTTTTGGCTCATACACAATTACATTAATACATTTACATTTATAATAATACACACAATCATACTCAATATATAATAATAAAAATAAAAAAATTTTAATAATAGTATAAACAATTACACACACACACAAATTGTGTTAAATGCCATTTTACTAAATACATAAACATTATTCATTTATTACATATTTATTTTAATGGTTAAATATATTTTTTGTTTTAGTATAAATCTTTCATTTACATTTCGGTTTCGCTTGTTCTTTCTTCGTATTTATGTATGTAAGTATGTACGACTTCGCATTGTATTGTGCGGGTATGTTTATGTATATCGAGCCCTAACCGTCAAAAAGACTTAAGCGACATTTTTTAAAATAATATATATTTGATTGGCTCGATATGAAATAAAAAAAAGCATGAGAAAAAGAAATAACAAAAAGTAAAATAAAAAATAACAAAAATTTGGAAAATTAACAAACAAAAAAGAGTAAAAAAAAAATCAAAAAAAAAAATTATAAATATGCTTTCGAGGAAGAAGTCGTTTAAAAGCCTGTGCTAGAGCGCTTGTTAATCGTCTAATCGGTTAATCGACTGGCCGGTTGCTTTCGACTTTTTCAACTAATGTTCCATAAACAACTAGTCGACTAATCGCTCATTTTCGATTTTTCGACAAGCTGCTTTTCCGATTTTGAGATATGGCGAACTTTGTTTTTTTTGCAAATGCACGCACTTTCTTTCCATAAACATTAGATTATTTTTATATGTGTTTAAATAATTATGTTTAGCGACAAAACTTGTATTGAAATGAATACAATTTTTGTTAAAAACTGCCACTGCTTGAATAATTTCTGCTGGTGGATTTTCAAACTACTCGACGGTGAGCGGTTAGTCGAAGTTGCTAATCGCCTTATCGACGATCTATTTTCAAAAAAGGCTTTTGGTGTGCGCCCTTATATAAGAAACCATGAAAAAACGGAATATTCTGTAATAATAATTTCAATTTGTTTCAAATGTTTTACACTGAGTCGAGCGGTTTCAAATTGTGACAATTTGAAAGTTAGAAACCGCTGATCGCTTTTCAATTAGAAGAAAAGCGCCGAGCAAATGTGCTTTAAGAATACACAGAAATCAAAAAAAAAAAATTAACTTTAATTCACAGCAGTTTAAAATACTAACAGTTTCAATTAAATCGCTTCGTCGTAATTAGAAATGTTCTCAGGCTCCTTAAAGCTGAAGCTCCAGGTTTTGCAGACGTTGCGGCTTTCGAAGTCGTTAAGACTTTACAGGCAGGCATACATATACATATTTCTAAACATTTTCATTATAAATACTATCCATGGCTGATTTTCTTTTTTTGAGATTTTTATATCCAGATTATTTTATAAAATGGAAAACGATTTATTGGCAAATTTTAGAAATTTTGTTGAAAAGTATCCAACATTGTAGTAGGGGATGAGTTTTCCGACAAATGTGTTATCGACTAAAAAATGCAAGTTCGATTAAAGTAATACTTCTTTTAGCATTCAAAGGAGTGTCAAAAAATGTACTCAACAGTCTCGGAACAACTCGTATTCACACTTGCATACGTACATATGTATGTACATATATGAAAAAAATGCACAAAAGTAGTATGTAAAGAAGTAGTAGATATATGAAAAACTGAAAGTCGATTCTGCGCAACGAAATTATGTTGGGCTCACCCGACTAGGGAGTTTTGTTGCAAATATAATTCTAGAAAACAAATAACAGCATTTTATGGTTCATTTACACCACTCACTGGGGTTTATGCCTATTGGAAAAATCAGATTACAACTCGAAGGAGCTAATTGCTCATATTAAGTACAAGCAAGCGAAAGGAAAAAAAGAAAAAATTAAGAAAAATCACCGCTTGTTAAATTCCTTGCAACTTATTTGGGCACCTAACAACAGTTAAGCGTTTCGTGGAAATGGGCTATTAGCTTTAAGAAGTTACAACTTTGTTTTTATTATATCAGTCATACTCTTTGCGAGCTACTCGTTCCTTGACGAAAATTTTAAATTCACAAAAACGGCCAGTTCGGTAAATGACGTGGCTATTGTTTAAATAGAAGAATGTTGTCAAAAAAAGTTTGTGAAAGAAGGTAAGCGTGCGCTAAACCGTCAAGCTGAAGAGCGTACTTTCCGGGAGTTTGAGTTGAACTTTCAACAATTAAAATTTCATTTTAAATAACCGAAAAGTAATAAGTTTTACAGTGGCCAAAAATGTGAATAGAAAATTGATGCCCAGGTTTAACCAATCAATTTTATAGTTTATCAGACTGCTGAAATTTAAAATGGCAAAATTTCCTAATAAAATTACGTTATTTTAAATTTTAACAATCTTATCCCCAATTTCACCAATCAATTTTAAAATTTATCAGACCGTGCATGAGAGGATCAAACGGAAGTAAAAGACATAACATTTTTTTAAATTTTCTTAAAAAGGTTTACTACATTAAACACTTTCAATTTGCCCTGTTCACAACTCAGATGACAAGTCGTAAATTTGGCCAATGAAAAAAAAAAATAATCATTTAGAAATCTATAACCACAGTTTAGAGTCGCTTTTTTAATGGCATTGAACTACTAATGAATTACAAAGTATAAACGTAAATTCTTAAGTCTCTAAAAAAAAAATTTTTTTTTTTAAATAATTGCATTTTTGCTTGGTTTTATTAAATTTTGCCTTGAAATTAAAAAGAAAAATATTGCGCGCAGCCTACCGTTAAATATAAATAGCTAAATAAAAAGATATACAAAAATTAGGTTTCCAAAAAAAAAATAAAAATAAATATTAACAATAGTATTTATAAGCAGTTTGTTTGTGTCACTTACGTACATGCAAATCGATGGTATTCTGCAAAAACGATACAACTCAAAACTTAAAAAAATACACACTTACTAGTGTTAAGTGGCTCATGATGTTTCTAGTCCCTGTCTAATCCTTACTAGGTAGTAAGTATTACTAAAGTAAGTAGTAAGGAATAGACAATGATGGATTAGGCAAGGATTAGAGACAGTAGTGAGATTTTTGCTTTATTGAGTTTGGAGTTGTGTCGTTATTGCAGAGCACCATCGAAATGTACGACTGCACACAAATAGTATGGGTTTTTGTGCTGTGCTTTTTAGCATTACTATTATTTAAAGTTATGAATTGTGTATTTGTGTGTACGTTTCGTTCTTGTTTGTGCTAATTTTTCAACATGTATGTATGTATTAATGTATGAATGTACTCGTAGTAGTGTGCGTGTTCGCCAACAGCATTCTCACTTGCAAAGGAAATCAATTTGTTATTAAATATGTATGTATGTATAAATGTTTCTATGTACTTTGATGTCGATTTTGTTTTGCAACGTATGACCGGGTCACTGTTTTAATTTTCATTTTATTTGTGTTTTTGTATCATTTAAATAGCAGCCTACTATAGTTTTCATAGTAGTACATATGTACATACACACTACTATGTACTACTATGTAATAGAAAGAAGTACCAGTAGTGCATTTGCTCTAAATCGAATTTTTGATTTACAAGTATATGTACTTCTCACTGTATTTTTGTTTGCTTACTTCATTAGTTTGTGGCTAATGTAGTTATAGTACATACATATACTAAAGCATTCGGCTTTTTTACAGTGATTTGGAAAAAAAATAATTTTACATTACAACGACCTGTTTTTTAATCTATGTTTGTATCAACGTATCTATATGAACTTAAATTTGCCTGTTTTTATTAATTTTTTTTTGTGTTAAATTTTTACTGGATATTATTATAAAGTTTGTTTGTTTGTTATTTTGGTTTGCTTTTCCATTTTCTTCCTCTTCTTCTTCTTAATAAGCTTAATTATTAATGAAGTTTGTTTTGTATGTGTATGTGTATGTTTATGCATGTGTTTCTCTTTGTGTGTTGTGTGTGTGTGTGCGTTTTGTTTTTGTTTTATTTAATTTTTTCTTGACTAAAATGTACATTTCGCTCTTCCGCTCATAGCTACTGCTGCTGTTGTTGCTGCTTTAGCTTTCGGCTTCAATTTAACGGCATTAACGCTTTAACAAACCATTCAACCAGCTATCCATCACTCACCATCATCGTCGTCATTGCATTATAATCACATAAATTTGTTGCAGTTTAATATAATTTCATTGAATATTTAGTAAAATCTTGTAAACAAAATGGCAAACATTGTAACTAAACACAGAAGTTCATACTTAGGTGTTGGTTGTCACCAAAACATCCGAAATGTAAAGCCATTTTCGAATGCTTACAAACGCGTCTTGCTTTGCTGATATTTTTTTGAAACAAATTATTAAAAATTAAAAATTCTTAAATCTCCGCTCTGCAGTTAGTTTTTTGATGAGTTGTCATTTTAAATAATTAATAGTAGCTTTGCAGCGTTAATAGTGGCCGAAGTAGTAGTAGTTGTTGTTGGAGCGGTGGTGATGGCGTCCCGACAATGATCTTTGCAATGCAATGCGGTACTTGTTTAGTTTGCTTGCACTGGATTTGCTGGGTTTTCGGGTTTTGGTTTAGTACAGACCGCAGCCTCTCAAATTGTTGGCAATAATCACATCCGTTACCGCATCGAAAACGAACTGTATATTGTTCGTATCGGTGGCACACGTCATGTGGCAGTAGATTTCTTTCGAGGTTGATTTGTTTTTCGCTTCGAATTGGGCCTGAATATACGCAGCAGCTTCACTGTACTCTTGACCGCCTGCAAAAGGAATTGAAGGGGAATTAAATTTATGTGTGAGTGCTAAATATTGGTATACATTCTTGTAGGAACTAAATTTATAGATGGGTACTTTGTTATCACTTAAGTATTTAGAAACATATGGCCACACATTGATGGTCTTCTGCAAATTGACACAACTCAAATTTTCATATTTTTGGGTTATATAGCGGATTAGGCTGTTTTACAACTAAATTTTTCTGTGAAAAATCGCAATTGTAACATTTGTTAGACGATCGAAATAGGCAACCCTTACTGCTGAACAGTAGCACATGGCCACATGAATATTGGTATAAGTTAAAAACTGTCTATCGGTTATTATTATTGTTGGTTTTTGTTTATCGGCCATTAAATGTAAACTGTTGTAATTTTTATTTGATAAACTCGAGGCACGGAAAGTATATAAAACACAGGTTTTAGTCATCTTCGTTGTTGGCTGATATAAATCACAGGTTTTAGTTTGTCGAAATATCGACATTAAAAATAAACAAACTAAAACCTGTGTTTTATGTTATTTCTGGGCCCCGAGGTTATTATTATTACGTCGGGAATACTCGCGCTGCGACCTAAGAAGACCCTTTGCGCTAAACCCTAATTGGAATCATACCAGCCTTAGGTTATTTAAGAAGTTAAGCACTTTGGAGAGACCATGTTGCAAATTTTGAATGGAGAAGACAATTGTTCCTCAAGGTTCATCAATCTGCTATTCATTATACGTGGGCAGTCATATAGAATAGGCTGTGGGGTTTTCTCCACCAGCCCACAAAACCTGTAGTCCGCCTCTACCGAAAGCCCCATTTTATCCAAATGGTATTTTAACTTCCAGTGTCCTGTCAGGTAGCCTGTAAGAGTTCTAAGACCCTCCCGGCTAAGTGCACGGAGTTTCCTCTGGAAGGAGTTTTGAATCTCATTGATTGTCTCATTCCCTTTGACTTCCACCAATGGGCAGCAACTTGAGATTCCTCCCAGCTCCTAAGTATTTAGTTGTGCAGTGTATCGATTAGATATATCGCAGAAAGGCTCGAAACCACGCAATCGCATATGGGCTCCACGCTTTGCGAGACAATCAATCATCCCTTTCGTTGCCTTCAAACGCTTGATATCCCGAAACCAACCACAGCGTTCTGCTATTGTGCGCTCGTAGGTATTTCAAAAGAGTTTTACAGCCGTCCATAAGCTGTTGATGCCATTTTAAAAGAGTTTAAGGCCTTTAACGCGCCCTGAGTATCCGAAATAATATTTATTCTGGCCCCGTTTGTCCGTCTCCGAAGACATTCTCGAACACGGACTTCGATTGCGAAGACTTCCGCCTGGAATATGGTTTGGGTATGAGTCCATTGGTACACTTTTCTTGAATTTCGGTCCAAGTACGTCTGCCCCAGTACTTCCGTCGTCCATCTTAGATCCGTCGGTATACCCTTCTTGGGACCCTTCGTCAATTATAGTCACTATCGCTTCACAATAGTCCCTTTCAGAAGTTCTGACGGTTTTAGAATTATAACTTCGGCAGCATGATGTCCGTGAGCTAGATAGCAGAATCATACAGAAGTAACTTGAGAGCCTCCAAAGTGACACCGAAGGGCGCTGCAGCCGGCCTATTTTTCAATCAGAATAGACACGGGGAATGCAGGGCATCCCTTGGACAGGTGACGGCCACGCAGACCATTCGGTGCAGCTGGCTCCTAAGTGACGCATAAGTAACAGTTTTGGTGATATCCCCTAAGTTTTACCAATAAGTCTCTGATAGGCATAGAGTGCCCTTGTAGCATTGGTAGTAATATTCGAGAGATGTGAGTTTCAATTGAGCCTTTTGCCCAGAGTGACCCCTAGATACTTCGTCTCTTCTGAGAACTCAATATCTGTTCCTTCGAAGGTGGGGCTAGTCAAGTTGACTTTCCTCCTTTTGGTAAATCGAACAACGGTGGACTTCAGTGGGTTTATTGAGAATCCCTTTTCAGAACACCAGTCTTCAGTTAATTTTAGCACAGCTTTCTATCTGGAGCAAATAGTGTCCTCATGCCAGCCAGCAACGTAGATGACTAGGTCATCTGCATAAGCATATGTTTTAAACCTATTGCCTTTTAGGGGAATATCCTTCCTTATCATAGCTGCACATATTACTTCGTAAGACATATTGTCAAAAGCACCCGATATATCCAGGAAAGCACAAGCTGAGGCTAATTGGTCTATACGCCTTTGGGAGTTGCCCCATGTTGATGGTATGCGAGCAAGTAAAAGACTTGCTCACAGTAATCCGAATACTGGCCCTAATTTTCTAGAAAATAAACGAAATATTGTGCCGCTACGCAGTAATACCAGTGAACTTATTTTCGTTTAACTAATCAATAATAGTCACTTATTTCGTATTTTTTTAGTCCAGTCCTTACTTTATCCTTATAAAGCAGTCATAATCTGTAAGCTTAAAAAATATCCCTACACAGTGACTGAAAATAATCAGCAATAACTACGTTCAAAAAAAAAATATATATATATGAAAAGGAAAAACTTTAATTGGCTCTACTGAAAAACATACAATTTGGAATTGTCTCATTATTGCAGAGGATAATCGATATATAGATATGTGTAATTGTATTTTTCAACTTACCTGTATATTCTGGGAAGCAGATTGTCAATGGACTTTTGCGAATCTTTTCCTCAAACAAATCCTTTTTATTTAAAAATAAAATAATGGAGGTGTCCGTGAACCATTTATTATTGCAAATGGAATCGAATAACTTCAAAGATTCTTGCATTCGGTTCTGAAAGGAAAAAAAAAATACCAAAACGAGATTAACAGCTAGCCGCACTCAGAAATATTCGTTAAATAAGCTCTAACGGGTACTTAACTAATTATCGTTAAATCTGTAAATTGATGTTTCCTCTCAGACTTAAAAGATAAAGGCTCTATTGTTAATGAAAAATTTAAGTATGGCAGTTTGAAATCAAGTATTTATAGCATTTTGCGCGCACTGCCTCAACAGTCGCAATGGCTGAGTGAGCAGAGCACTGGCGTGTAGGGTTACGACGATACTACTCACAAGTACGATACTATCGGTACTTTTTGTTTCTTTCCGAATATTTTTGGCATCGATGCTTTTAAGGAAATACTAGAGTAAAAATATCGACACCCCAACATTTGCAGCAAACTCAACTTTTTTTAAACAACATTCCAAAACAAACTTTTTTTGCTAAAGGATAATTTTTACATTTATCCATTCCTATGTTTTTACCATGGAAAAACAGTAAGGGTAACAAATGAAAGGGCCAATTCCGTAGAATAGGAAAAGATTACGCAAGTACAAATAGTTATTGAAAATGTTCTTTTAATAGTGTATCCCTTAATATCCTTATACGTTAAGGACTCATATATACACGACCACATCCTCAAATTTCATCCTTCCAGCTTTATTAGCTTAAAAAAGAACTTGCAGACACTAACGATCGCTCATTTACTTCGATAGTGTCATAAAACGGAAAGTCGAGAAAAAGGGCTTCAAAGTTTTGAATTAACATATCGCTATCGTAATTCACAAAGGCCCTAACCAACACTTTTTCCTAAACTTAGTCTTTCGCAGATTTTGTTAAGATATATTAAATTATACCTTCAATGGAAATTTTAAGGTCTTAGTATCAAAAACAACGGAGTTACATGCCACTTTTTTGATACTATTTTTATAATATTTTTTGCTTCTCCTGTAAAATGAAAAATCTGTTGGTGAGTGCCTTTGTAAATTTAGGTACCGATATATATCCCATATTTAGTTCTACGAAGATACTGGTAATCAATACAGCTATGAAATTTTTACTTAACGTAGAAGTAGTTTCTGCATACTTTGCTCAGTATTTGTATTTTTTTGTACTATGATTACGGTGACCAGATTTCTGTGGACAAACTTCAAGACATTTCTAAAGCATCGAACCTGAACATACAATTTTGTTTTTAGTATAAAAAGACATTACATCTTTTAATACAGATTTATTTATGATAAAACGAAGGGAGACAAAATTTTGAAACTTTTTTTCAAAATTTTTTAACACAATATATACGATGGCGAGAACGTAAATACGGAAAAGACATTTTAGCAAGTTTTGGCGCCTACGTTTGTACGAAAAATTAAGCAGGTTTAGAAAAAAACTGTCTGCATATTAAACTAAACCTCTATATTCCTATGTTATTCGAGACCCTGAATGCGAAGCCGAGGTCTGTTAGTCTTCTCCTCGTCGGTTCGAGGTCATTTGAAGGTCAAGTAGGGGAAAATTCATTAAATAAACCTGAAAATTCAATGCAATTCATCTGAATTTGACCTTGGGATGACCTTGGCATGACCTTTAGATGACCTGGAAGAATCAAGGAACCCCTATATTTGGATTCAGCGACAACAAAAACAAAATTTTTAATTTTTTTTATTGAATACATTTTTTGTCCTATTTGACCCTCAAACGACCTCGAACCTGACATTATGCAGGTTAACGGACCTTGGATTCGGGTTTATCGAGTCTAAAACCCCATATATATGAATTTTCAGGTTTATTCAATAAGATTTTTCCTACAAAATCGGCACGAATGGTCACCGTAACTGTGATACTCATGAAGTAAACGAGCGATATGAACATTAAGGTGGTGCTTAAATGTAGAAGGCACATTTTTGCATCAGACTTTCTAAACCTCAACCCCTACGTCGATACTACTATAGTCGAAGATACCACTTATAAATTTTAGTCCCGATTGAAGTCGGTTAAGGCGTGTCGCACAGGGGGCAGATTCCTCTATAGAGACTCAAAAAATTAAAATTATTCTTTTATTAATGTAATACCCAAAATATCTGTGACCGTGGTATTACCGATTAAGGAGGTGAGACCGAAAAAAACCTGTTCATTTGATTTTAAGAACCACTCTAATGTACATATATATGTATTTCCATGGAGAATAACTTATGTCAATTGAATTCAGGATTGTCATATTTGACATTCACTTGCGGTGTGTCAATGTTTATTGCCGATTGTCGCCTTGCAAGCTCGAATACAAGCCAAAAACTTTCAACGCATGTAGCACGCTTGTCGGAAATAGGAATTAAACTTACCGTAGTTTCATCCTCATGCAAGACTTGATCGTACTCAGACATGGCAACGCAGAAAATAATCGCAGTCACATCTTCAAAGCAATGTATCCATTTCTTTCGCTCCGACCGCTGACCACCAACATCGAATAGTCTATTAAAAAATTCAAAATTAGTAAATTAAATAAGCTTAAAGCGCGTTTTATAGTTGGGTACTTACTTGAAATTGAGATTTTTGAAGGAAAAGTGCACTTCAACAATACCGGTCGTCTTGACACGAGTGCGTAGAATGTCCTGTTCGGTTGGTTGATAATCCTTGGCGCCTAACCGATCCAAATCATCGAGGAAACTGTAAGTAGAGAAATAAATTTAACCGATTAATCAAATTAGTATCCAAAGTAATAAAATATCAGCAAGTTATTAGTACGGAGAAGTGGTTACTACGTTTCTGAGATAAGAAAACTACGTGTAATAGGTAAATCATAGAGCTTAGCTGCTTTAATTGAATAAGCTTACTAACTATACATAAGTTAAACAGAGTAGAGCAATTCTATTTTCCAATTAGCTAGTTGCTACTGCAGTACTTATATAGTACTTAGTTGCAGTGTGCTTATGGTCGATTCTGTGTGCGTGCACGCGCCATAATTAAGCCGCAACAGACCGACCACAAAACTTCATTAACAACTGGGGGAATGCAATGTATAGTATACCTATTTTAAAGTGAGCCATTTGAGTAGCGGAACTATCTGTATATATAACCAGAAGTAGCATAACTTTAGGTTAACAGCTTTAAAGTATTAGTATATGCTACTTTTGTATCTAGATTATTTTACTATAAGTTGCCAAAACAACTGTTGAAATTTGGGCGGTAAAATGCTGTCAACGCGATCACTCGCGCTTCATGGATGGGCGCGACTACTCTATAACTGAGCTGCAAAAGCTTAATTACCCAATACGCTTTTGGGTGTCTTAATCAACTAACATATAGTTGGAAATTAGTTCGTATTTCATAGTGCGCATTGCTTTAGATAAAAAAAAAGTACCATTGGTATGTATTAACTTTGCCAAAACCAATTGAGCAACCTTCAAATCAATTAAGTTTAGAATTATTTATTTGCTCACTAGCATAGTAATGCTAATTTTTAAGCTTGTAAATATTCTGCTTCTTTGTAGGCAGCATTTACGTAACCAATTAACACTGGCTGCAATTAAAACAAGAAACCTGGAAAAGTTGGGTGTCACTATAAGGCACTACTTATAAGCTTGTAATGTCTTGGAAAAATACGGCCTAAAACAATTGGGCTAAATCTAAAATTAAAATCTTGCTAAGCCTAAAACAAAATGTTTCAATGAGCAACAACCGTTGTGGCAGTTGTGGCAAATGAACATTTAACGAGTAATACTTTCGTTAACACTTATCAATCGATCAATCTGCAGGTGCTGCCCTATAATACGAGTATTTATTATTAAAAAATAATGATATCTATTGAAGCTCACTTGTAGAATCCATACATTTGGCATTGGAAAATGAAAAAAATAAATAAATAAAAAATTGTGAAAAATGTGAAAAATTTCTTAGGTCAAAATGAGTTATGGCTTTTATCTGAAATTTTGTTTCCACTAGCGAGTAAATCTTAAGTATTCTTCGATAGTTCACTTTGAAAACTGGGTAATTATTCAAGAATTTACCACCTGGTGAGCAAGAGATAAATTTACTCAGATTTGTAAGAAACTACAGTTTTATAAAAAAACCCGAAATATGTACTTTACAACAGTTTAAGCCCATTTTTATTATGTATTACAATCTACAATTCTATGTAAAAACCCTAGAGTCTAAATTTTGTTGCAATTGAAATATGCACATATCTGCATTCGGGTGGTCCAAAAATGCATGTGAAAATGTAAATAGAAGTTTTAATGCTCTCACCTCCTAGGATTGTTGTGTACCGAAAAAAATCTACCTCAAAGTTTTTCATCTATCATATAAGGGGAAATCGTATAGAATTCTCGAAAATCAACATTATTCTATCCGAAAACTATGTTCCTCTTCAGGAAACTTCCAATTGCATTTTTCGGGGTTTTAGGAGCCCTGTTAAAAGTATTCAATATTAAAAAATGGTTTAATAAAAAACTGGTTATTAATACTGCAAGTCTCCTGGAGAGATGCAAAGTTTTTAGATCGAAAAACATTGATTTTCAAGAATTTTATACCATTTCTACGAAAAATTGTTTTCTTCCCATATAAAACACATGGAAAATTTTGAGCGACCGCTAAGAATTTTTTGAATTCAAAAAAAAAAAAGGCATATAATTTGTTCGGTATATAACCAATCTTTCCGACATTATTTTATTTATTTTTTACCACCCTAATATATATGTATGTACCCATATGAATGTGCATAGTTTTTATTAAACTTTTTACAATAGCTATTTATTACACAAAACTTTGAGCAATCGCAGTGTGGCAATGCAAATATGGCTAAGTGGAGGAAAATATATAAAGTCAATTTGCACCCTTATGACAATTGTAGCATCACGCTGTAAAGCAAAGACTGAAACTATAATCCGCTGGGCATTTCAAACCGCCAATGGCCCATTAGACCTGATGCAACGGAATGGAAAATGTTTTCAAATGTAATTATGCATTATGATGGTGGATAAGCGAATGTATGAATGAATATACTATATACGAATGTATATAAAAATGTGAATGGACGAAATAAATTAAAATAACATTAAATTACTAAAACCACAAAAAAGTAAAAAAAAAATATTGTGTCAAATGAAAAGTCTCCGCGGATCTGTGTCACTGTGTGGCGTTTTGGCCCACACTTCTGGCAACACTTATCCAATTGCATCAAAGTGACGTTGTAAAGTGACATTTCAGGCTGCATTTTCAGTGAAGACAGTCCTTTAATTCTTCTTACGTGCACAGAGTTATATTGATTTGAAATGTGTGCTCGAAGAAAAACGTTATATGATGCTACATGCCGAAAAATTTGTGAAATATACGGTGAGAATGGTGTGAGTGAACGCCGGACACAGGAGTGGTTTACTCGATTCCGCTGCGGATTTTGATGTTAAAGTTACACCCAGTCACTGGAAAAGTTGTTGAAATAATGCAAATTATTGAGCAGGACCAGCATTCAAGCTGTCAGAAGATAGTGGAGGCACTAAACATCATCACATGGCAGTTTGGAATCAGCTAATAAAAGCAGGTAACTCAAAGAAGCTCAGTGTTTGGGTCCTACATGAATTATTGAAAATAAAATAAATAATTTTACCGAATTACCATCAGTGAAACGCTGCTGACACGCAACGAAATCGAACAACTTTTAATCGAATTAGTGATGAAAAAAGGATTGAATATTAATAGCACCGACTGATTTCCATTTATAGCGGTCTCTGCAAAACATTGATGATAAAAAAAAAATTGAAAATCACTTGACCAAGTTTTTCCCCGATATATCTGCAATCTGACATTTGGCGTGTTCACAGTTCATTCCAAATTGCGTCTGAAAATATAGACGGCAACATTTTGAAACATTTTTACCATCAAACTGTGAGCACTCCTTTCTAGCAGTCGTCGCAAAACTTTACTTGTGTTGCCAGACTAAAAATGTCTTTGCGTTTGCGTCCATTTTTTATATGTCGCCTTTAGATTTTGGTTCTGAAAAATTTTAATTGCTTAACTTAATTAGCAATTACTAATATTTGTTCTTTATTTACCTTGATTTGTTTGTTTTCATCAGCCATTGCGGTCAAATCAAATGAAAATAAGGAAAACATCCCCAATAAATTTAAAAAATTTGATAGGTGTAGACGCTTAAAAAACATACCTTTGAGTGTGCGAAAATGAAGTCGACATCGTTTTCTAATTTTGTATAGGAAACAACATCACTATAGATTTTACTGTTATAAAATGTCTCAAAATGTAGTCGTCTGCATTTATTTATATTTTCCTAAATATAAGTGGGACTTAAAGATAGTGTTATATATCTTGGTATATCCATGTACAGAAAACTCACTTTGGAGTGAAATTTCGGTTCGATTACTTATCAACACAGCAACGAAACCCCCGTTCATCACTAAACAACTCGTAGGTAAAGCATGGAGTCTAAATTCCAAAAATTACCATTTGGGTATATACTCAGATGATCACACTCACAATTGCGTACGGAGCACTCGTCTAGTGAGAAAATACTACTAAAAAAAGCTATTAAAAACTGTGCAAGATAGAATTACTTGCATTGGAAAGGTTTTATTCGAGACGATCGAAAGCAAATGCCCCGTGGCACTCTTTAATATGTTAAGTTGGATACGCTTAGGATGCCAGGTTGAAATCCTTCAGTAACAATGCCACCATAATACTACTACATCTGAACCAGACTGGCGATCAACCGAAAGCACATCAGAGCTTTTCTTCAAGTAACAAAACCCATGTACATACCTACTAAAAATATTTAGGAATTCCCAATCTTTTTAGTATAGTGACGTTGTGAACGGACGGATATTATAATCTGACATTTTATAGGCTTAGGGGCACGAATTTCGATACGATACGATACCATATCGATGCTTTTGGCATTTGATACCGATACTTTTTACTCGAGAGTTTTAAAATCATATTTTTTGATATCGAGTACCAGACCCCTTGTATCGTATCGAATCTTAAATACATATTACAAAGTTAAACTGATTAATAATATATATTGTACACTATATTAAAAGTAATTGTCTTTTACTAAATTCGTTTTGATTTGCTTAAAGTAAAGCACATATGAAAAAGGTTTTTCTATTTGCATAATAATTAAGTAGACCTTTATTCAGTAAAAAAATTGCGGATAGTACAGATTTAAAGATATATGTAAGCAAAGCGCATATGTAACGTTACAAAGAACAAAAGTGGGTTCTGACTTGAGTTGAAAAATGGCAAAACTCTGCGAATTGGTTCTTAAATGTAAACATTTTTCCTACTTTTTTTATTAGCCGAAGTATCTGGCGTGATAAAAAGCAGCCAAATTGGCCCATAAATTAGTTAGAAGGCTTTTATTTTTTCGCGGCTTTTATTTTTTTCTTCCACCGGAAACGCCCATGTCTATATTTTGAAATTTATATGTAAAGCTCGGAACACTTTGACGACAGCAAGCGACAAGCAGCATCTGCCAAATTTTAAATACACACGTTCTTACGGACACAATTATTTTGACGACAGCACGACATCTTGGCTACAGGACTGCAATTGTCGACGTCGCCAAATTAAATCTATTTCTAATTTTGCCGACGACAATGAGTAGATGTAGTGCTGCAAAATTAAATTGTCGCAAAATTAATCACATATTCTTGATT